TGAGGAAAGCTGGGTTTGAATTTGGTGATGTTCTCAGTCAGCTGTTTATTTTCTCTCTCCAAAGAGTCACTTAGGCAACGTCTTGGTTGATATGAAGCTCATTGATATCAAGGACACTTTACCTGTGGGCTTCATCCCTATCCAGGAGACCATCGATACACGTAAGTTGGCGTCTGTTCTTCCGTCCCGTGCCTTGGGAGCAGCTGCTGCACTGGTGCCTGTGCTGCAGGGCGGTGGAGGGCTGTCCCCCAGGCAGAGGGGCTGCTCTCTGGGGTTACATGCGCATGTTTGGGGGCAGCTCTGGACTGCAATGAAACAGCTTTCAGTTTTCCTGCGCTCTTCAGGCTTTTTAATACTGCTGCCAGACTGCCGCCAGCTCTCCTGCTAGAGCAGCACGGCTCTGGGGCTGGAAGGAATAGTTTGTCCTTTCATTCCATGAGGGTGGACTAGGCCTAGCAGGAGCAGAGCTGCTGTGCTAAGGGTTGTTCACGATGGGTAGCAAAAGGAAGGGCATGTGCTTGTGGTGCTGGGTTCCTGTGTCTGGGCTTTACGCCTCTGGCTGTGAGCAAACAGCTTTACAGCTCTCGCTCTGAGCAAATGAAGGCCTCTGCCCTGGCAGCTAGTGCTGAGGTTGGTGGGGTATGTTTGCACTTGCTGAGAGAAGGCACAAGTATGATGTCCAGGGAAAATACCATCCTCATTTCTGCAAGGCAGAAAGCTCTTTCGTGCAACATTTAAGCCAGCAGTTCCCGAACAGTGTCTTCAGGTCCCCTGAGACTCGTGGCAGCAGCAGCTGGAGCAACGTCTGGTCGCAGCACTCTGCTCTGCAGCAGGCATCAAGTGCTTCGGGCTTGCAGTGCAGAGGGGGGGCTGGGGACGAGCCCCCTGGGAGCTGAGTGTGGAAGGGCTGCAGGACACCGTGTGCTGGTGATGCGTGTGCAGCTGCTGCTCGAGAGCAGGGCTGGGGCCAGCGCTCGTCCATAATGAAACCCAGCCTGGCTGCACAGAGGAAGGAGTTCTCTGAACCTGCTCTGCAGGGAGTCACTCTGGGTCTGCAGCAGATGAGGGTGGGTTTTCAGTCACTATGGACCTGGTTCTGATTTGAGACCATGACCTAGAAGTGAAAGGCTCTGCAGCCCATTTTCCATTCCCCTGGAGAGTTCCTGGGCCTGTGTGGTGCGGGGGAGAGTTGTGGGCTTATCCTGCTCGCCCTTGGGAGTGCTGAACACTTGGCGTGTGCTGCTGTAATTTTTGTGAAAGTCCTGGTAAAAGGTGGAAGGGGACTTTGTAATTAATTTAAAATGCATTGGATTGTGACCCATACAATCTTTCAAGCAGAGGCACTGTCTGTATTAATGAAGTGGTGCATATCCCTGCCTCCATTAGCATGAATGAACACATTTCGATTGACTGTTTATAATATGTTTACTTAAAATTAACTCTGGTTAAGCATGTGTAATTAATGAATCCAGCTCCTAAACAAAGTTTGCTATGGACTGCAGACTCTAGCCAAGTGTGAAAGAGCCCAAAGACAAAAGCAAATACTCAGCTTTGTACTTACTGTGAAAGTGAAATAAGAGGCACTGATTTTGTTCAGAGTTAAATTTGTGGTTATATGTGTTTCTGTGCTCTTCTGAGGTACAGTTGACTTGTAGTAAATGTATTGAATACAGCACTCCTTACTGGCTTCTGAGAAAAGTTTCAGATGTGGAAGCCTTAAACCCCGGGTTCCTAAAATCAGTTTTAGGCACTTGAGGTAGAAGTCCTCGTTTTCCAAAGCAGAAAACTAGCCTTCAGGGATACAGGTATTTAACATCTCTAAAAAGCAGCACTGTAACTGCAAAGCTGCACGCACAGATGCTGTATTGTGACACACCTCATGCTGTCTGTACGTTTATTGGTGCTGGTGTGACAGCAAATTTCAGAGGCTGGGATGGATTGCTTTCTCCAAGGTGTGGATTACAAAACAGGAGGAGCCTACAGAGACAGTGCTGCTTGCCATCTGTTGAAGTGAGAGCATGTTTTTAAGCTGGAGGATATTTATTCATATTAAACTGAAGGGTTTTATTTTGCAGGCACTTGTTTGTAGTTGTTGGTTGTTTCCAGATTTTCATTCAGTGTCTGCACTTTAGATTTTCAGTTTAACGATAGACTTCTGTCACGTCTTTCAAGTGCCTGCGTTCACAAATAGAAACCTCACCTTGCTCCCATTGAGACTCTTGCAGGCTCTTTAGGGTGAGAGAGAGCAATGATTTCCAGGCACCACAAATCTGGGTCTGTGTGCCAGCACCAGCTGTTGTCATGCGACTGCCCCATAGCTGAGTCTGGTTGTGTCTGTGTGCGGACAGACAGCGTTGCATGTACACAAATTCATTCTACAGATAAGCCTAAACTCTGATGGGCTTGAGTTTTTCTTGATGAATAACATGGACACAAGTGAAATTGCTCTGCGATGCATAGCAGGAAAGGGCCATGCAGGAGATTCATCCCCCTCTGAACACAGGTCAGTGCAGCATAGTTGCCCGGTAGGAGGTCCTAGTGATTACTGCTTTGTAAATCTGATTTATCCCTACAAAGACACCAGGGCAAACACGGGGAGGGTATCATTTCAGTGCTTGCTGACTTGGGAGGGGTCCCTAACACTTAAGATGCGTGAGGTTTGGGCAGACAGCTTTCACTGTTAGCCCTTCTGTGTGGCAGTCTGTTTTTCTGGCTGCTCCTCCTCTCGGTTTGGTTGGCTGTTTGGAAGCACTTGGCAGAATAAACTGACCGGTTGTGTCAGCAGCTTCCAGGTATGTTCCTAGAGGCGATGCTTGTGGGAGCAATATTTAGATATGACTGTCCAGGCTGGTAAGGCCAACATTACCTTGGGAAGAGAGAGCAAATGTGAGAAGTATGTGGAAGTGGAAAAATCACCTGCCGTTTCTGTTCTGTGGTGCAGTACTCTGGCGTCCGTGATGTCTTATCTTCTCTGCAGAGGGTAGCAGGGAGTATTGGTTTATCGTGGTGCCTAATAACAAATCTCACGCAGTGTACAGAGAGCTCCTGATAGAAAATTTCTCCGGTCGCTGAATGGCACTGCACTGTCTGGTTTGCTGACATATATCTGTTCTTTGGCTCCAGTTCCTGCCATAATTATCTGCCTAATATCTGGAGAGACAATAAATAACATTTATACCCTAATCTTGCATAAAAACCACCCTGTGTCCTGGGTTGTTTTTGCAGAAGAAATAGCTTTCAGAAAGAAGAGGCTGTGCATTAAATTCATCCCTCGAGATTCTACAGAGGCAGCAATCTGTGATATCCGAATCCTGGGTAGATCTAAACAAGCCCCTCCTCAATACACGTTCATAGGGTAAGTACCCCTCACTCCAGAAGCTGTTGTCATAAATTGAATTGTTCCAAGGTGAAGCACCCTGTTTTCCTGTAATTCCTGAGTAGTAGTTTGTAGGAGCTGAAGCTTGTCATTAGAAAATTCCACCTAAGTACAAGTGTTACTGAGTTTGACGTAGGAATTAACTTACCCTTTTTTTTGTCAATTAGAGTGGTTGTCCCTAACCAGGGGCTTGTGTTTGTGAAACACGTCATTGTTTGATACTTGTGCACGTGTGCAGCATTTGCTTGATGTCTTCCGTGCTGATTACACAGGGAGTTGAACAACATGGGCATTTGGTACCGGATGGGCAGAGTTCCACGCAACCATGAATCTTCACAGCCTGTGACTCCTCCTTCCCAAGTACCATCTTCGACACCAGCTCCTAACCTGCCAAGGTAAGTTTGCTGCGTTCCAGCCCCTTCTGCTTGATGCTGTGGTGTGTAGTTACTAACCTTGCCTGGTGGAATCAAGACCAGGGTACCACGTCAGTATGAGTGATTACGTGGCGTGATCTGATAAGGAGGGAAAGTGTCATTCTTTCAAGTATTTGCCTACTGGAAGTTCCTTTGGCTGTCATTGTATAAAGACATAGAGGTGAAGAAGTCAGAAGAAAGCAGCAGCCTGTGGAGGAAGGGAAACCGCAAACTACACCTTTCCTTTGCTTTCAGCTGTGCGGGATGTAGTTTCCACGTGGGTCACCCCTGGAGGGTGGGCCAGGACTGTAGCCAAGCTGATCTCTGTCCTTGACCAAAAGTAGGGAGAAGCGTTCATACAGATTTTAGTGTGTAGAGAGACAAGTTTTGCTCATTCTCCAGAATCGGTCCACTCATGGTTTGAAGTACTGGCCCTGTTTTTTCTTTTCTTGGACCTGACTACTGTGCTCCAGCCTTGCGGCTGACATTGGGCATGCAGAGCAGACTGCTCAACCTGCAGCGACTGACAGGAGCAGTCTTCTGGGCAGACGCTGGCATAGCGTCGGTCCAGGTTGTTTTCCTTGCGTTATAGACAATATTTGTGTGTATAAATGTGTGCACTTGTGTGTGTACTTGCATGTGACAGTAGTCCTGTGTTGACAGCTTGCTTGCTGGATTTCTCTGGACAAAACAGCGTGTTGTTAAGCAGCAAACCAACCCAGACAGAGGTTAAACTGAGCACTTTGTACTCCTGGCACTTGCTCTGAAAGCACAGCATCCAGTGTGAGACGAGCTCCTACTGATGAGGCTCATCGACTGAACTCTGGGCCGGGCCATTGCCAGGGACAGCAAGTTCTCTGCGGGTCCCTTTGGGCTTTCGCCTAATTAAGTGAACATGTATTTTTGCAGTAGGCATTTGGTGTGCTGCAGACGCATTTACAGTGTTACAGTAACTATTGAGAGCTAGAGTTTTGAAGGAGGCAGCAGAGTGCAATTCCAGGGGGATCGCTTTGTACACAAAGGTCCTTGTGTCATATGGGTGGAAAATCCTCATGTCCTTCAGAGTCTTGATTTACAGGTCGTGTCAGAGTGACACTTTTAAACTGCTGTAAACTGTTTGCTAAAAAGCCATTGGGTGTGATTTTTTTTTTTTTAAGGCCGGCGTGTACCTTTGAGTCTTCACTCAGACTTAAATCTGCTGTCTCGTGGTGGCTCTTTGAGCCCTCCAAAGCATTTGGGCGTTTCTTTCACTGAGTTTTGCTCAGTCGCCTGCCATGCCATTGCACACTGCTTGCTGTCCTGCAGGCAGAGCTGCTCTCTTCCTTCTCAGAGGTGGACACAAAAGAGATGAAAAGCCAGCAGTCTTCTGGAGGTTTCAGCCTGTCCTGCTGGGGGCCGATACGTTGTTTTGAAGCTCTGCTGGACATGAGCTACATGCTAGCACAGGCCATGCAAGATCAGAGAAAAAGATGTCTTTATTTTAGAGCACAGGTCTTCATTTTCTGTCTGCAAGAAATTCCTGCCTGGGCAGATTTCCACAATAAAGAGAAAAAATTATCATAGCAAGAGAATGTCAATGGCAGTCCTTAATCACTAAGTGTGGAAGGGTCACTTTATGGCTGAGCAGGGAAGGCTGCAGAGCAGCATCAGAGCTATTGGGAACAGGGCCAAAATTAGAGCTCAGAGCATCAGCGACAGTCTGAAAAGAAGTGTTTACAAGGCTTATATATTTTATAACCTCTTGTTGTACAGTTTATGGTTTACAATGGCTGCAAGGAAATTGGATCAGTTTTGTTTTACTTGCCAAATAAAGCAAATGTCAAAATAGTCAATATAAAATGTATTCTAATTTGGCTGAGTTAAAACAGCCAGTATGCAGTGGAATAATTGAATGTTACATTAATGCCTCCTAGTAAAAACCACCTGTCTGTAGCCAGCTCCACTCTCGTGCCCTGTGCATGATTTACAGGTAACTTTTACACCACCAGCCTGATCATTCAAGGCATCTTTCATGTCTGTTTTTTTACTCTGATTATTTATTATCCAATATATTTTTTAAGAAATAGAAATGTATATAAAGGTGCATCCTGCAAATATTTCACCATTACGAGGAACGCGTACTACTTGAAAGCCTTTTCTAATACTTTATCAGCAATGTGCTAAGTTACTCAACATTTAATGTTTGTGGAAGATTGTAGTCACAAGTAACCTCTTATTTTTACATCACCATAGAGAGATGAGATTATGCTGATAGCCAGTTTGCCGTTTTATTCCATGTGGCTATATCCTGACAGGAGCAGCAGCAAGTTATTCTGATGCTGCTGTGAGTGCTAAGAGAAAATCGGTGAGCAGTGCCGAACAGAGCGTGCTGTGGGGAATCTGCTGTTAGGCTGGTCAGATATTTAAGCTATTCTCTTTAGATGCTGTCTAGCTAGATAAAATAATTTTAAATCAAGAGGGTATCCTTGAGTGCTTCAGAACAGCTGCTAACACTAGACAGAAAGTAAACCAGTAACACACACCCGTGAGCTTCTGCACAGCAAAACCTCCCTAAACGGAAGGACTTTGCTGTGGGAGATGTTTATTTCTGCACCAGCCATGTTTCCTCCTCTGGTCCTTGGTGTAAGTTACGGGTGGCAGCGGGTGGCGGCACATCAGAGTTTTGCCGTGTGCCAGAGGTTTGACCTCCACAGCTTGCTGCACGTCAGCATTGCTGCTTCCGCCGCTTTTCGCAGGGTTACGGCTCGCAGTCAGAACTGCACAAGGGGAGGCTTTGTTTGATATTCGTGCTGGACTGCATATGTTATTTTTCAGCCATTTCTTCTCCTTGGTGTTTCCTACTGCAGGCATCTGGCTTAATGGTCTCTAACGGCAGCCCTCGCGCGTCCCAGTGAGGATGGCATGCTGTGCCGTAGAGCACAACCGTGCCATTGTGCGAGGCTTCAAGCTGCTTTGCTGTCTTCTCTCCAAATTCTGCGACAGCTCCTTGGCACTAATGGCAGCCTGGAGAAATGCACTTGCCGTTTCCCATCCTAGAAGGCTGCTACTAAAGAACTGCTTTTGTTGACTTGAGTCACCAGTGGGAGTTTAATGTAACTTCCTCAGTGCCTCTGCTCTGTGTTCAAGACCTGCGCTTTCCCGTGCTGTGTGGTGACATTGCTTTGGGGAACAAGAGGGTAATCCTCCCCCAAAAGGGGTGCTAGTAACAGGTAACTCACCTGCCCTTTGCACACTTCTGCTTCACCCAGCCTGTGGATCAGCAACTGCCGGTGCATGGACTGAGGACTTGGAGAAAAGTGCACGCATGAGCGTTTGAGCAGTGTCTGGGGACTCAGCCCCTCCATGCCTCAAGCTCTGTTGGAGCAGGCTAGAGCAGGATTTGTGTGTGACATTCTCTTTGCCAGTCCAGTTCCAGCCTTGTGGGAGGAAGTCTCTGACTTCTGTGAGTGCATGCATAGCCAACCTCGGACCGTTTAGCTTTGTGGCTGCCTGTGCAATGGCTCCCATCACAGCAGTGGTGCTTTGTGAGCCCCTGTGGCTCCCGCGGTCCGGGAGTGCATTTCACACCCCTTCCTGAGGTGCTGCAGGAGTCTCTGCCGCCATCATTCAGACAGCCCTCTCACAGTTTGTCAGCTGCAAGCAAGATGTCAGTCAGTGCTGCTGAAGTGTGTTTTACAGTGACAGACATAATTGCACTTAACTTTTTGCGTGGATGTTATCAATCTGTGATGGATACTTTGGGAAATGGAGCACTCTGATTGCAGATGATGTGTCACAGGCGTTTAATCTTCCTCTCGGAGAGACCAGGATTCAGTCACAACTTTTACTTGTTGATGTCAGGTTTTGAAAATGTAGATCCGCGCTGACCCTGGGAGTTGTTCAGTCATTTAGTTTGCAAGGCTGTCATCTGAAAGGTTAATGGCTTGCCGGGGAGAAGGAAGATCTTGCTGCGATCCGCTTGTATTTGTATCATGCGCTAGCATGGCTGGGTGCTTAGTGTTCAGGTTCAGAAGGGCAAAACCCCTCGAGCTGCCTTCCTGGGATGCCTGTGGCACGTCTGCATGGCTGTCCTGATTGAAGCCCACAGAAGCCCAAGCTGCAGGTCTCGGTGGGGCTCATGGTGCCTGTGGCTGTCCGGGAGGCAGAGTCAGGAGTCGGTTGCTCGTGCTCTGGACTGACCAGAAAGGCACACGGGTGAACAAAAGAGTGTTGGCCCTGAGTGCCGCACCTCCAAGTGTGCCTGGTGGCCAGGAGAGGTGGCAGAGCTGGTGGGATGCCTGGCCTGGCCCGGCCCGGAGAGCCCATGGCGTGGGAGCACTGCAGCTCGGGAGGGAGTTGCTGTCTGGGTGGGGTGGCAGGCGGAACGCTGGGCAGCTCGGTCAGGTTTCTTGCACATGGGGCTTCTGGGGCAGCCAGG